GGTACCTACGCTTACAAATTCATGGCTTTTGAAAAGTCCAACAAAATATGTCAAAAAAAAAAAATTTCCAAAAAAAAAAAAAGATTGTTTGACTGCCTCCAAAATGCTTAATTTCTTAATTTAGTTCTGTAATATTCTATGTAATGTTTTATATGAGTCATTGCATTTAGGTTAGAATTCTTAATAACATGAAGGTAAGTGTTTAGAAATGATACCCTATTCGGAAACATAGCGAAAAGTAAAGTAAAGTTATGTATATTTACATATCTTGGCTATACAACTAACACTTCATTTAACAGGGGAAGGAGTATATGGTCTACATGCATTACATGAATGACTTATTCATTACATACATTGCATATATGTCATGTTACACAATGACATATATGAATGTACACTGTCGGGATTTATCTACAAGTCAGATAGGCACTGACTCTTTTGAATGTGTGGGTTCAGATTGCAGGGTAGGGTTATTTACAAAAATTCATATGAATGTGTTTTTAAATACCTGTGCGAAACTCCAACAGCTTATATTTAGAATTACCTTAGCTGCTGTCTGCAATGGAAAACCACATCTTGTTGTCCTTAGAAAAGTGATGATTTCCCTTTAATATAATTGACTTGCACTATTGACGTCTTCAGTGTGTTATATTGGCTTCATGGTTAACTAGTTTTAAGAGCAGAATTTTAATCCGGGAGAGAAAGTGAGTGTGGGAGGAGAGAAAGTGAGGTCCTTAAAAGCTTCTGTTAGATCTGACAGAGAAATATTAATTCTAATTGAATATGTCTCAATTTAATATTGTGGGATAAGCTTTTCAAATGAATAATTTTTTTTGGATACACTTATTATTATTATTATTTGTTTAAAATATTAAAATATATTAAAAAAACAAGGCAGGAGAGATAGGATTAGGTAAAATATCCTAAGGAGTAGATTTCCCTTCTTGTGTTGGGAAACAAAAGTAAAGGGTGTCAAACCTACTGACAGGTGCAAACCTCAAACTATATATAAAATTAACTTTAATAAATATAATACATTAAAAAGGGTGGGGAGCACCTATCAAATAAAGTGAAAGTGTAGTTAAAAACCATTAACACCTGTGGGACTGGCAGCTGTATAACCGATGTAGTGTAGAGATAATATCAAAGCATTGCATTGCTACAGTTTTAAGTAATATCTGTAGAGGACAATTCTGACTTAATCGGAGAACAGACCAGTCTCAACAGGGTTGGAGCAATATATGCGACGCATGTGACTTCCGGCAGAGATGGAACGCATAGCACTTCCGGTTTTTGGAACGCACGGAAGTGGCGAAAATTATCGGAGGATTATTGAAGTGGTGGAGATCAGCTGTGAATATTGAGGAGACCTCCAACAGATGATATTCATTTACACAGGACCAATGAGGAAGGAAGGATAAGCCCATGTGACTGAACTGCATTTAGGGATTAGCCCTATTCAAAGGACTTGCTGGTGGGGGGTTGTTAGGCTGCTTCTTTTCGATTGTACTGTATTGTCTGATTGTTTTTTAAATATTGTGGTCCCTGAGGAAGTCCCATATCTCTGTAGACGGGACGAAACACATAGGACCATTGTTTATTTTATATATTTTTATACATATTAAAGCTGCAATTTTTCAACCTTTACCCGGAGTCCTGTATCTGAGTGGAAGTATCCAGGGGAATTTCCCAAGCCCCCCTTATCATCAGGGGAGGCACCATTAAAGCTTGAATCATTCAAGATCCTGTGAGTGCATTTCAAATTGTGCAGTGTGAACATTTTATAACAGTATTACACTATATATTTTTTTGTATGTTTTTATTTAGAGCAATATATATCTGAGTTTGTGGATATCACGAATGTAGATAATATATTATCTTTATTTCCATTGGTCCGCTGGATTTTTAAACGGACAAATAAGAGCCATCATACCCCTTCTTTAACTGGGCTCTACGAGAGGTCCAGCTCCCCTCTGATGATCCAAAGTGGCGAAACGCGTGTCAGGGGCACTGACTAGCACTATCCACAGCCACTGCACCACCAGTGATCTACTTTTACCTGCTAAATCATGAGCGGTCCTTATAACCACAGCACCACTCACTCTTAGCTTGGATACTAGCTGCCATTATTACACAAGCAGCTCAGTCAGAACGAGTGCCTTTATTTTTATTTAATCTTTATAACTGAGTTTGTTCAATATGCTGCTACCTTTTGAGCATATGGGTTAAAACAAATCCGCCTTTTTTGGAGCATTGGGTCTAGCACACAGGGGCATGTAATATACAAGGGAGGGAGGTTTCCCTTAGTTAGTAGATATATTAGGCTTTATTTTAAGGGGTTCTCTCGAAGGCACAGTTGATAGGATACCTTATCAATGTGATAATCCCCATTTATTACAGCCATCTACCTGTTTCCACCTAACTCCTCCTCCCTCCCCTTGTCTAACTTACTTTATCTTGCCTTACATTCCTGTAGATACATGATATCACCCCTGACAATCATGATTTCTGGGGCAGTTGCACGGCGGTACTGAGGTTACGCTAATTACCTTCAGCCGCTACATTTGTTTTACCTATATTGACGCCAGCAACTAGGGACTCACTTTTGTCTTATTATCAAGAATGTGCAGTGTCTTTTATGCATATTTACTGAATGACAGCAATTCACCGCTTAGATAATTACCCCCAGACCGTGCTGTTTAATTCCCATTGCATTTTTTTCCATGCATGAATGTTTACTGTTGCTTAAGGATTTAACTGGTGCTTTCTTCTGGCACAGACATTAATAGATATTGTCCCTAACCATTAGCGACTCTTTGGGTCTTCACCTGTATACGTAGGCATTGTCTTTGATAGACACATACCAAATGATAGCAAAGCACCGCTTAGTTAATTACTCCTTTACTGAGTTGGCCACGATTCCATTGCTCTATTTTCTGTACAAATGGCATGCTGGTGATTGATATATACCCTGCACTGCAATTAAGCACTGCCCTTTAATAATCTTTAAACTCTGTTAGCTTACTCATACAGCATAATCAGGCAACTTACTTTTGTTGTACACATCTCACGAGCACAACGCTATCAGACGCCACCCACAAATGATCGATGTGTGACCCATAAAGTACATACTGTTATTTTGCTGAGACCTAGACAGGCTGTTTTTAACTACTAGAGATGAGCGAACCTGAACTGTAAAGTTCAAGTTTGTACCGAACATTACGATTTTTGGACCCCAAACCTGAACATTTCAGTAACAGTTCGGGTTTAAGTTCGGTGTTGGGCGATTTAATGGCGAGTTTTGAAAAGCTGCAGGGCAGCCAATCAACAAGCGTTTGACTCGTGTGCCCTTAGAAGCCATTACAGCCAGGCCTACTAATGGCATGGCTGTGATTGGCCAGTGCAGCATGTGACCCAGCCTCTATATAAGCTGGAGTCACATGAGCTCTTATTAGTGTAGAGAGAGGATGCTGCAGCTGTGAGGGACAGATTAGGAAAGAATTCTGGTGTTTAATCTGCAAACTACAGCGATTATTTTTGTGGGTGCTATACTAAATTTTTTTACCCTGCCCTGAGCCCAGTGCCACAGAGAAATAAGCAATCAGTCTGTTTGTTAGGTGGGCACTTGCAACTGCATGTGTGCCAGGCACATTAGTTTAATCCTGTTCTGGTAGCCCAGTGGGCAACATCTAGGCATTTTTAAATACTGCTGTGACATTGCAGTTTGACAATTCACATTTTTTTTGGTGCTAAAAAGTAAATTTGGGGCGTGCACTTCATATCAGAGAGTCAAATAGAACCGTCAAATACTGTGGTTACATCACACTTTAAAAAAGTCACATTTTTTGGTGCTAAAAAGTAAATCTGGAGTGTGCACTTCATATCTGAGAGTCAAATGCAAATAGAACCGTCAAATACTGTGGTTACATCACACTTTAAAAAAGTCACATTTTTTGGTGCTAAAAAGTAAATCTGGAGTGTGCACTTCATATCTGAGAGTCAAAGCACTTTGAAAAATTCAATATTTTTTTGGTGTTAAATAGTACATTTGCGGCCTGCGGTGCATTTCTTGCAGTCCAATAAAACTGTTAAATACTACTGTTACATTGTTAGTTTTAAAAAAAAAAATCACACTTTTTTGTGCTAAACAGAACAATTGCGGCCTGCGGTGCATTTCTTGCAGTCCAATAAAACCCTTAAAGGGACACTATAGTCACCAGTGCAACTACATGTATTCCTGATCCTATAGTGTTAACACTACCATCTAGCCCCCCTGGGCCCCTCATGCCTCCATAAATATAGTAAAAATCTTACTGTATTCAAGCCAGAAGCTGTAAATCTGCATGCTGTTAGACTCAGGAAAAACAAGCAGTCTGATGACATGTGATAGCCTGATCCAATCACAGTGCTTCCCCATAGGATTGGCTGGGACTGACAAGGAGGCAGATCAGGGGCAGAGCCAGCATGATTCAAACACAGCCCTGGCCAATCAGCATCTCCTCATAGAGATGAATTGAATCAATGAATCTCTATGAGGAAAGTTCAGTGTCTGCATGCAGTGGAAGGAGATACTGAATCACAGAATGCTCGTACACAGCAGATCTGAGTGGATGGAGGCATATTATGCCTCCATCAACTCAGAAGTCCCACTGGTTCACTCTGAGAAACTGCAACTGAAGGTGTTCCTAGCTTTCAATGTAAACACTGTATTTTTTTCAGAAAATACAGTGTTTACATGAGAAAGGCTGCAGGGAGCTATAGTTCTCACATGAACAACCTCATTAAGCTGAAGTTGTTCAGGTGAATATTGTGTCCCTTTAAATACTACTCTTACATTGATGGTTTTTTTGAGACAGTGAAGTAACTGTTTTAATTACACCTGTCACACTGTTGTGTGACCTCTAGTAATTTTTTATCGTCACTACCTCCCCTTGTCGGGAGTGGGTAATTTGTGCGCCTACTGCCTTCCTTGGATGTGGTAACCATTTCTCAGGCTCCCTCTCCGGAATCGAACCCTGACTCCTTGTTACCCATGATCACCATGGTAGGCGCAGAAAGAACCATCGAAAGTTGATAGGGCAGACATCCGAATGCGTCATACCCGTCACGGGGACGTGCAATCAGCCCGAGGTTATCTAGAATCACCAAAGTGCCTGCGCAACGACTGCCGAGTTGCCCACATTTTAACTTGTGCTGATTACTGGGTGGCCAGCCAGCTGGATCCCCGTTACAAGTACAACTTGCAGTCCTTAATTCCCTCACTGGAGCGTGATCGGAAGATGCGTGACTACAAGTGCACGCTGGTAGACGCGCTGCTAAAGGGCATTCCCAACTGACACCGGGGGCTCAGTGGAAGCACAAGATGACGGCAGAGGAGGAGGAAGTCACCAACACAGCTGGGGCATCGCCAGCACCTCAGAAGGCTGGGTTAGCATGGCCGAAATGTGGAAAAGCTTTGTCAGCATGCCACAACAACCAGCACCGCCAGCTGATATGGAACGTCTTAGCAGGAGGCAGCATTTCAGCAAGATGGTGGAACAGTACGTGTGCACACGCCTACACGTACTGACTGACGGGTCTGCCCCATTCAACTTCTGGGTCTCCAAATTGGACACATGGCCTGAGCTTGCCCTTTATGCCTTGGAGGTGCTGGCCTGTCCTGCAGCCAGTGTATTGTCTGAACGTGTGTTTAGCATGGCAGGGGGCGTTATCACAGACAAGCACAGCCGCCTGTCCCCAGCCAACGTGGACAAGCTCACATTTATTAAAATGTACCAGGCATGGATCCCACCAGACTTGTCTGTACCTTGTGCAGAATAGACATTTATACCGACCTCACCCAGCCATTGTTATACTCAAGTGCACTTATTCTTTGTTTTCTTTTTTTATATGTCCCAATATTTTGGGGGCTACCACAATTGTTTGCAGGGCACTTGTCCTACTCTTACCCCCATTTTTACTTTCTTTTGCAGCCCTCTAGCCCTTTCCAGGACTTTTTTAGAGACATTTTAGTGCCCAAAAGTTCGGGTTTTTTGCCGAAGTTTGGCCGAACTCGGCGAACCCGAACATCCACGTGTCCGCTCAACTCTATTAACTACATTTTCACTTTGTTTGATAGGTGCTTCCCACCCTTTTATATGTATTATATTTATTAAAGTTAATTTTATATATAGTTTGATGTTTGCACCTGTCATTAGATTTGACAACCTTTACTTTGGTTTCCAAATACAAGAAGGAAAATCCACTCCTTAGGCTATTTTACCTAATCCTATCTCTCCTGCCTTTTCTCTGTTTTTTTGTAAAAAGTCTTGTCACTAGGGGTTAACCCCCACTCAGGAGAATATTTATTTGATACCTGTTAGACTATTGTTTTTAAAAAGTATATCATACATAAAAATTTTACAAAATTTAAATATTTTTTTCATATTAAATCATTTGAAAAGCTTATCTACAATATTAAATTGAGTCCATAATTTGTAACAGTGCCACTTCAGTATAGTACACTGTATTTGTAGGTAATTGTTCAGCACAGTGTGGGTGATATTGCTATGGGTGCAGGGGTTTAATGTCTTAAGTGCAGATAATGTTGCAAGGTTGAGGTTAATGCTGTGGGTGCGGGTTTAACACAGCAGGTGGGGCGTTTATAAATATAGAATTATCTAATGCTCTGAATTCAATCAAGGATTATGTGTCATAATGTAACTCATAGAAAATGTTAGGGTTGAACATAAGACTTGGCAAACGGTGAGGTCACAATATTAGCCATAACAATTACCATTAAGCTAGTCTGTTATGTTTTTTTAATACACATATTAACTCTTCATCTTTTTCCTATTTGTCCACACATTTTTAATGTGTAAAAATATGTATTTGTTTTAGCCCTAATGTATTAAAGACTTATATTTGAGTTTGTAGCATCAGATTTAGGCAAGTCATGAGAGGGGAGTTTTTCACAAGAAAAGATAATGCAAGAAGCTGACAATTAATTGGAAGCATAAAAGTAGCATAGCATATCGTATTAGAGGCATACATCACAATGGATATGCTACCTTATAGAAGCTTTGCAGGTTTTAATAAAGGCATAATGTGTCTGATAATTGAACATAATGCATTAAACCTTATCCAACAGTTTCTACTAATGTTTGTGCCTATATTGGTACCCTGAGAAGAAGCTATACTGTGTATTAAAAAATATCTTAAGTACACTGATTTAAAGTCACACAAGATGATTTATAATCCTGTTTAAAGCGTGTAGAGAAAATACAAAGCCAATAATAAACAAGTGAAACACTTACCTCTGTGAAATACATCAAGCAATAGGATTGAGCAGATACCACAAGATCTGCAAAGGCGCAACAAAATGCAATTTCCTGCTACTGTAGAAGGATTCTATAAATTGATAAGATATTGATAAAAACACAGAAGTTGGAAAACTGAGATCTTCCTTTTCTACCAGGCATGCTGCCAAAAGTCTTCATGGCTATGCAGGATTCTTTTTGCACTTGTTACCCCTAGGACAAAACTATTGAACAGCCTGTGTGAGTGTGTCTAGCTATATAGAAACCTTGCTATTAGACAGATATTTACTAAATATGGTAAATAACATAGATTACACCAGAGTCATTATACTGCATTAATGAAAACAAAGGGAATATGTAAGATAAATTAATTCTGAAACAGTAAACCATTTACAAATTCTATAAATTATTCAAAAGAGTTACAAATAGGAGGATCTAATGTGGGCCAGATAACCACTAAACTTTCTTTCTCATTCCACATAGTTTGAGATAGAGGTAAATATATTTAGGATGTCCACTCACTAACTGCCAACCCATCCTCATGTCAGCAATGAAATGGATTGGGAATGCTCTATCTGCAAACCTTTAACCCCTTAGTGATGAGATCACTTTCAATTTTATTACCGTTTGGGACCAGGGCTGTTTTTACATTTCTGCAGTGTTTGTGTTTAGCTGTAATTTTCCTCTTACTCATTTACTGTACCCCCACATATATTATATACAGTTTTTATCGCTATTAAATTGTCTTTCCAATGATACCATTATTTTCATTATATAATATAATTTACTATAAAACATTTTATAAAATATGATGAAATTTGTTTTTAAAAAACACACTTTTTCGAAATTTGACCCCCAAAATCTACAACCGCCAAGAAACACCCATCCTAAATAGTTTCTAAATTTTGTCCTGGGTTTAGAAATACCCAATGTTAACATGTGCTTAGCTTTTTTTGGAAAGTTATAGGGCCATAAGTACAAGTAGCACTATGCTATTTCCAAACCATTTTAATTTTCAAAATGAATGCAAGTTACTTTGTAACACTGATATCTGTCAGGAATCCCTGTATAACCCTTCACGTATATATATATTTTTTAAAAGAACACAATATTTGGGGTATTTTGACTCTTTTCGTGCTCTTTTCATGCAACCATTTTACCACCAATCTATACTTAATAAAAAAAAAGGGAAATTGGTGATTTTTTTTGACACACATAGCAATTTAAAAATACATTTACTGAGAACATTAAAGGTTACTGCCAAAGAACACCCCAATACGTGTTCAGCAACATCTCCTGAGTACAGTAACATCCCCCATGTATAAGTGTGTTGGGTTCTCTGGGGACTAAAAGACCTTATTTGGAGGGTGCGCATTCCAGTTTTCCAACTTGGAATTTTCACAGATGTTCATCATGCACCCATGTCCTATTTGGGACATTTTTGAAGCCGCCCAATGTAATTTACACCCATCAAACCATATATTTTTGAAAAGTAGACACCCTAGAGTATTTCAAATAGTGGTATGTTAACACTTCCCATGCACTAATTCTACCACCAGTCTTTGTCAAACTTTTGGGTAGTTATTTTTTGTGTTATTTTTCTCTCACATTGTACTTTTGGCATTGATTCTTAGTTCCTGTTAAGTGTTATTGACAAAGAACACCCCAATATGTGTTCAGCAATATCTCCTGAGTACAACATTGCCCAATGTACAGGTTTTATGAATTTTTGCAAACTTACAGGGGTCAAATATAGGGCTTTCCCCTTTTCCATATTTGCACATTGAAATTTGCCAGATTGGTTTGCTGGGCCTATGTTCCCTTTGAGACCATATAGCAGCCGAGGAATGAAAATTAACCCCATCATGGCATACCATTTGAAGACATGGTATGTAGACAACCCACGGTATTCAAAATGGGCTATGTCCAGTCTTTTTTTGTAGCCACAATCGCTGGCCAAAGTTAGCGTTTTTATTTGTTTTTTTCATTTTTTTACACAAAAACTGCACTTTTACAGGTGATTTCATCATCGTGATAAGTTTTACTGTTTTAAACACTCATATTTGTGTTCAGCAAAGTCTCCCAAGTACCGTTTTATGGTGTTTATGAAACTTACAGGGTCAATATAGGGCTTGCCCAATTCAGTTTGCCAGATTGGTTTCCTGGGTTTGTGTGACATTTTGAGACCATATGGTAGCCCAGGAATGTGAAATAACCCCATCATGGCATACCATTTTCAAATGTAGACAACCCAGGGTATTCAAAATGGGGTATGTCCAGTCTTTTGTAGTAGCCACTTTGTAGTCACAAATGCTGGCCAAATTTTGTGATTGTATTCGTTTTTTATGTAAAAAATGTTTTTATTTATATTATATACATATATATATATATATTTGTGTTCGGGGCATTCTCATTGTACATGAAATACGCTGGTGGAGAGAAAATAACATAACAAGGAAATAGTCAGTTGAGGTGTGCCGAAACCGATGTATGCTGTAGGCCGGTAAATAAAGTGGGCCCACATAAAGGAAAGTATAGCTAATGGGAGTGGAGGGTGGGGCTGTTCTAGTACTTGTACCGGACACCACTTGTTCCCTGTGGGGTAGTAAGTTATGTGCACAGGTTCCCCCATCTGACTTGTTTTGGTTTTAGGTAGGGTCAGAACGTAGTAGTCGATGTGTTTCCTGAGGTAGGAGGTGAGGAGGCACCCTTGGCTATGGTGCTGGCCACTAATGGTGAATTCTCTTGGTCTAAGAAACCCATAGAACACTAGATAAATAGCCGTTTTAATGACCGCATTTGTATGGGGTTCAAATGGAGCCTGGTCGAGAAGGTCGGACAAGGATTTGAACAGTTTAATGGCAATGGCAAGTCTCTTGGGAGTTGCAGGGCCGTCTGCTTTGGCTATGCCTTTTAGTAGTGTTCGGATGGGGTAAGAAGTTAAGAACCCTTTGTGGTTAGGGAAGGAGC